GGGTTTTAACTTGTCTTTTCATTGAAAATATTAGGTTAAGCTAGACTTAGCTTATAGATTCAGCTTTATAGAAACCCTTATCTTTAAATTGTTCTCAGCTCTGGGATACTTCTGGGAAGGAAGTAAAAGTGTCTTCAATTCCTCTTTCAATACTTGCAGGAAAAAAGGAACTTGCTTTCTGAAATTATCAAAATTTCACAGGGTACAGAATGTTTAAATTTCAGTAGGTCCACTATGAAATTTACTGCAAACACTGAGTATTCTGTCGGTTTTTTAAGCATTTATACTGTTGATCAGAAGAACCAGCTTCTCGTTTGCATTGTGGGTTACAGTTCAGTGCCATTAAGAAAACTATTACAGCTCATGGAGCTTTAATCATGTTAAAATAAGGCATTTACAGCTTTTTAAGAGTATAGGTCCTGCAAACCTGGTTCTCTACAACACAGTTCCCACTGTGAGAAAAGCTTACTTTGCAAATTTTTTTTAAGCATGTTTTAGCAAAATTACTGAAGTAGGGAGATGAACCATTTATATCTTACTGGTTGGGTACGTATTTTTGCTATGCAGGAGAAGTATGCAGAGCTGCATACTTTAAGAGCTCTCAGCAAATACTCCCCAAGCCTGGACTCTAAAACAGGAGCCTTAAGTAACTGTACTATGTCTGCATGGCACTGCAGTATGCGTAAGCTGTACTTCAGCCCTGAGGAACAGTTCAGCTGCGTTTGCAAGGCACTCTTGTCATTAAAAAGCAAAACAGACTCCACAGAAGAAGGTGGGGTCTTGTTCATTAATTTTTGGCATAATGCTAGATTGCTGTATGTATTCTAGGACCCAGGCTGACTTGGGTATTGCTGCCCAAAGATAACACCTTTCTGTGCAGCACTGCATGCCTTGCAGAAAACAGGGAGCCAATTTTTTAATATATGGCTCATGCATGAAGGGTTATGTCTTCCTCCTGTTCAAAGCTCAAGAACTTAAATCTGTTTTCCTCACTGGTATGTAGGTGGCATATCGGTGGTAATTAGGTAGAAAGTATGTACAGCTAATACGGTTAAAACCATGTAAAGTTACAGATTTTATTCAATTTTCATTGTTATCTTGAAGAAAGTTTGCATTAGTCAACTATTCATTTTAGTAAATAAAATCTGTAACTACCTGTAACATCTGGTGCTTGTGATTTTATTTGTTACTCACTGATTCAGAAACTGAAGCACTCCATTTAAGAGGCTATGAATAAATTGACATTTTCTTCTATACTGTAATTTTTCTGTGTAAAATTAAATGACTTTATACATAAAGTAACTGAAGTATGAATATAAGCATTGCTGACCAGTGTGAAATGTGAAGCCTGTGCTGCTGGTACAGTTTGTTCTTTCACTGTAGAATGTTTAAATGTTGCCTTAAGCCAATCAGCAGTACTGATGATACATATACTGCCAGGAAAAGAAGTATTATTTTTTAAAGTCAATTGTAAAGGACAATAAGGGGCCAACTGAACACAATGGAAAGAAAAAAAACCATTTTTTTTAAAAAGTGTTAGATATGATGGAGAAAGGAATTATGTGAACTTCAATCAGTGCTTTTCAAGATTTATGGAATAGTGATGATTTTTATTTTTTTTTTTTTGTCCATATAACTTGTTATTAAAAGAACTGGATGTGTGGAAACAGTTTTGTGCCCTTCCATTTCTATAAAGTGTCACTGAAGCTGTAGAGGGTTTGTGGCAAGTACTAATGTTCTTGAGCTCACCTAAAACACCTGATGAGATCTCTGGGGAGTTCTTACCAACTTTTCACGTCCCCATTATGGAACTTGCCTGACAGTGTCACACTATCGCCCTTAATAACTTATCTCAGAGAAAGTCTTTGTGATACCTTTAAGCAGACCCATTCAACAGTCCGGTGACAAGGGATGGTAAAGCAACCCCCAAGGCAAAGAAACAGCATTAGAAATTTATTCAGAATATAAGAACATTTGTAAAATAAGTATTATAAATGTCTCTGTATAAATAAATGCCGTTTTTACAATTCTATATCAAATAAACACAAAGTAGCTATTTTACAGCAGCTAGGAAACTAAAAAGCAACAGCACATTTAACGCTAATTCAGTAACGTGAAAAGTTTCTAAAATTACAATGATGTGTGGTATGGTATTAAAGGAGGAGAAAATCCTAGTAAAACCAGTAGAACAATACTGACATTAATGCAAACTTAGTCACATGTGCTTTGCAATAGCTAACAGTACATTCAAGCTGGTGAAGGTTTATACATTTAATTATGAAAAAAGTACTTTTTCTCTGAACACACTGAAATACAAAGTTGCATGCACTCTGGTGACTTAGAAAAATCAAAAAAACACCCTAAGACAGATTAATGAGTGAATAACTTAGGTTCTGTTGGCAAGAACCACCTATTTTTCTTGCTTTGCAAATGTATTATTTCTGCAACAAGTGTTGAGTGAGTGAGGTTGCTGTGACTCAAGGTGATTTGCACACTCATCTATACCATGGTGTACTGGTATTTCAAACAGTTGCATAAAACCGTTTTTTTGGCATTTGTTCTTAGAGTTGGTGCCATTTTAACAGGCACGCAGCAGCTAATTGTTAATATTAAACAGTTTTCACAACAGCAGTGAACCTTTCACCACTTCCCCATTCGCCTTTCCCCGTATGCCACCAAATGAAGGAGTAGCTGCTTGGTTAGGCAACATAACTGGTGGTCTGGCAAACTCTAGCTACTGCAGAGGCTCTATGACACCAGTCTTGCTTTTTCATCTATAAGCCCTGTGGGAAGAAAGGGGGAGTGGCTTACATTTACTGATGAGTTCTAATTTATTCTAAAACACTTCCAGAGCACAGTTGGCAGGGAAGATGTGCAGTAAATGTAGTAAAACAACGTTCAGTTTATGCAGGATCAGCAAATTGTTATGCCTGAAAAAGGCACTGAGAAACACTGCAGCTTTTTATGCCTTTAAACCCAGGTCTGTTTTATGCTTTCTTAATTTGTATCTTTCCTTTCAAGACAGGTTTCCATTCAAATGCTTTAAGTTTCACTGTATTATGTTTAACAGGTTCTCTAGCTACCAAGAAATAGAAAAAATTGAGCAGAAGAGGAAATCCAGTGTAGCAGTGGTTTCTCGTCACCTTAAGTGAAATGTATTTTGCATGGACAGTTTGAGATGAACTCAAGTTACATGTGTGTTTCAGATGCAAGACAAAACTAACTGCATTTTTGCCACAGTACACAGTGGATAGTTTTCTTTGTGTTTCGTCAAAGGCAAGCATGATCCGCTACCACTGAAGCCTCTGGCAAAACCCCACATTCCTGTTGGTGAGAAACTTGTTGGCCAAAGAAGGGAAACGCCATAGACACATACTTAGCAAAACCATAAAGAAAGACAGTGAGAAATCACTACTCTGGCTCCCTCAACAGACTGGTTTGCAAAAATTTCCCATTTGCATTACAAATTAAGAAGCGCAATTATCTTGAGAAAGAGCACTGGTCAAAACCAGTCCCAGGGCATCGCTACCTACAACTTAGTTTTGAAATTGGCATTGTTTTAACTTGCTATTGCAAGCAATCACATACAATATTGGCTTTGTGGCTGATTTATCATACTCTGGAGAAGTAGGAATCACTACCCTAAGAAAAGAAGAAAACAGCAGCTACAGTAGTAAGAGATGTCACAAACACCAACTGCTACAGTTTCAGATGTAACCAAGGCTTAACAATAATGCCATATTCTGAACACAAATTCCCACAACTAACTTGGCTGCCTGGCCCAACCAAAAAGTAGACAAAAACAGGTCAGGTCCTCTAAAAATATTTCCTTAGTACTAGAAATTGGAGGAATAAATGAGAGACGTTATCATAATTCTCAATACAATAACAGAACTTGAGGTGCAACTCAACATGTAAAGCAAAAACGATAAACAACTCCTGAAATCTGATTCACTCACAAACAGAGCCTGAAAAATACAAAGTAGAGGTGTAACACAGTAACGGGCTAACGAAGTTCACGGACCCTAGTTTGGCATGTTAAAACGAACATGGAAGCTGTTTTATGTACTCGGTCAAAACGAAGCAAATTCTGGATGAACCAGGTGCTATGGTGCATTTTGCTCCCTAGAGAAATCAACCAGATCACCGTCCTTTGCTTAATGTTCATTGCCATCACAGCCAACATTCTTGATTCAGTTTGATAATACAGTAACGTGATCGACTTAAACTAAGAGAAGAGAACGTTAGCAGTAACAAAAAACTTAAGCTAAGAAGCTGTATGAAGACTTCACCATTCACATTCTGTTTGTGGCTGTATATCCATACACCTACACATTTATAGTTTTGTGCCTATGTATTCAGTATTAAACAGGTACATTCCTAATAAGTACCTTTTTTGGTCAAAACAAGTATAAAAAGAAGACATTCTACCTCTTGATCACAGAAAGCTGTAATAAGCACTATACATGTGACAAAGACGGCCCAGCTTCTTAAAGAAAACCTATAATGTATTAACAAGAAAACCCAACTGTTTCACAAAATCATTGCAAACACCATGCAATTTAAATACCAGAAGGATGTCTTTAATTTCTTACCCAACCTTGGCACAGACTATCTATCTGGCATGGTGAAACTCACAGCACTTAGTGTCTTTTAAGATAGATAAGAAAGATAGTAAGTCTATTAAGAAATAGACGATTACTGTAGTTTTCAGCGATACAACTAGGGTTCCTTGTTCTTTTTGCAAATCAACTGGAGTTTCCTACCTGATCTGCACTGTGAGTGACAGTACTGCAACTATGGTGCAAAAAAGCAAGCCAGCCTATCATCTCTCCACTCTGCAGCTGCCTATTTAGTTGATTTAACCACAGCAGCAAGTCTTGAGGGTACAACACAGAGTTGTGTGCAGAGGGAGCTCAGGGACTGGGAAAAATCTTATCAAATTATCTCCAAACTGCCCAAATTAAAACCTCTTAACATGAATTAGTTTGCAATGTGACACTGTCACCCATGGGACATACATAAAATGGAAGAGAAGCTGTATGAATATAGACATAATGACGCAGACAACATACATAACTATAACGTGATAATTCAGGCACTGCCATTTTACATTATGAAACAGTCCTTAAGGTTAACACTTATATTATCCCCATGCACCTCTCTGGGATCCCAGAGAAGGTGCTTAAGTGTGTCAGCATTGACAGTCAGAGCTTTTAGTGTTTGAAGCTACCTAAAAGTCAGCCTCCACAAGAAAGAAATTTGTAATGGCACTAAGCATCTTTCAAAAAGATGCATTTACAGTGAAGTTTCATTGGTGTGTGGTCTAGAGTTCTCTTCTTCTAGTAAAGCTATTCTTTGTTTGAGCATCCTTACTTGTGTTTCATGTCTCTCCACCATGGCCATCATTTGTGATTCCAGTTTCTTCAGCTTGTTTTGATGCTTTTTCTTTGCTTTTTCATAAGCTGCTACCAAGTTGCTGTTAGAAATGTACAAGGTCAAATACAAGGTCATTTATAAAGGCTGCTTCATAGCAAGTGCTACAAAAATCCACCCCAAACCCCCGCCTTCAGGGAACTCCAAAGTTTGGCTACTGATCATCTTCCTAAAATTTACTAGTGCTTTAAAATGCATTATATCCAAACCTTATAATCTCTCTATCTTTCCTGGGGCAAGTACACACCTCTACGAGTAAACTGGTTACCAAAAACATTTTAAAACATGTTTCAAAGCGACAGCTTCAAGGTGCTGCTGCTGACCTCACAAAGCACTGTTTCAGAGTCACGATGCCGCAAAATTAAATGTGTAATGACTTACAAAAACACTGCAGGGCCAGACTTCTTACAAAATCCAGCACTGATTTTGCATTTTCCATTTAAAAAAATAACAGTTCTATTCAGAGGATGGCATCTTGTGCTCACTTGTCATCTGCTAAGTATCTTCTGTGCCTCCACCTTGCCTCGGTAGGAAAGCTTGAGATGGGTACTACTCCTCACCACAAGGGCTTTTGAGTATAATTTATTATTGAAAACCATATAATAAGCGATAGGGTCCTTGCAGGTAGGACAGCTACAGTCCACCATATTCTCAGTCCATCCAAACCCAGTGTCAGTAAAGCCTACTGAGTGATCAATAAAATTTAAATGTGACTATTGAAGCCAGTTTATTAATAAAGAGGCCGGAGCCAAAGAAAAGGGAGCAATTCTAAACAAAATAACAGATTCATAAATCTGACTAAACAGAGGATTTTGTTTGTTTTAATAATAATGCATTTACTAGTAACTCAGTTAAGATTAACCTATTTCCCGCACTCTGTTCTTGGCTATGTAGTTTTCAGTGTCCTACATGGGAGGTTTATACCTCCCTTATCTCTAACTATAACCTTAAAGAGTCAATGTGTGTGAATGCAAGGATCCAGGAACTGGTCACTAAGGTCGGGGGAGGATTACAGTGCATTTCCAGAACATGACCAAAAAAAAAAAAAGTATCAATGGTGCATCCATTGCTGGTGATCCTTTACCTGTTTGCCCTTTTAAGGTCATTAACAAATTCTGCAGATTGCTGATGTCTGATTTCACTGCTCTTCGTGAGTCTCTCCAAAGCACTCACTAACTCTTGCACTCTAGCTTTCAGTTTCTTCTCCCTGGATCAGGAGAAAAGGCGGGAGAAAACTTGTTTTCAAAACAGAAAGAACACTTCAGCTTGCAAGTGCATGAATGGGTGTCCTGTGCTGGGCTGACAGGCTGAAAATACTTTCCTTACTATTACCTGGATAACACAGGAGGTAGTTCTTACGTTAAAGTTTTCCACAGATTGATTTCTATGACATTCACCATTTTAGAATATAGGATCAGAGATGCAGCAGACAAAAAGAGTAAACGAGCTTCTCTGGTGGATCATGGTCCTGTATGTATCAAATCACACTAAGATATCATCACAAAGATATAGAAATAAAAAATTAAGAATACTTGGCACATGCTACCTACTGTGTCTTTAATGAGACAGCAAAGAAAACTACCAAAGGAAATCAAACGTCATGGTAATTTATATAGACATTTTAATTAAAAATAGCATACCAGGATTGCTATTAAAGATAATTTACTAAACAAATTTCTTTTTACTTAGAAATTACTATAGAATCATAGAACAGTTTGAGCTGGAAGGCACCTTTAGAGGTCATCTAGTCCAACCCCCCTGCAGTGAAGAGGGTCATCTTTAGCTGGATCAGGTTGCTCAGAGCCCTGTCCAACCTTGAATGTTTCCAGGGGTGGGACATCTACCACCTCTCTGGGCAGCCCATGCCAGTGTTTCACCACACTCAGAGCACTTCCAATCATTTCAGTTACTGTCTCAAATTTACCTGAGTAACTTATACTACAGGCTGTATTACAGTAGATTACTATTTTTTTTTTCAGGAGCCAGCAAGTCCAGTTCATGCGGCAGTGGGAAACAGCAAAAGAACAAGAGAGGGGAGTACAGATAGAAAAGGGCAAGCACAAGAAATACAGAACAGAGAGCACAGGCATTTTCCTCTATGAGGTACTCTTTTTCTTTCAGCTAAGCCACAGTAGTAAGGTTTAAAATGCTAACCAATACTTACCAATTATGAATCAAAACCTAATTCCATGAAGCATGTCAAAATGGAAGTAAGGTACCTTACAATATTTTACATTATGACTATCTCTGTGAGGGAAAGAAAAAGTGAGCAAGGCAGAAGTTCTGGGGAGGAGTGAGCATTACAGCTTGGGGTTTAAGCTGGCTTTGAAAGCATTGCCCAGGGCAGGCAAGCATGCAGCAGGAGGCAGGTGCTTTTTCCCGGGAGCTCCTGTGCAGGGCCAATGGCTGCCCACAGCCCACTCCTCTACAGACATGGGACTGTCTCACTTCTTGTGCACGGGTGCTGATCTGGAGACTCAGAAGCCTTTCTCTGTGACCTGCCCTCGTAGCATAGGCAGCCCAGAGAGAAAAGCACCAGATTCGAAATGAAAAAAAAAAAAGGGGGGTGGGATAAGAATGACATGGAGCTGGGCTAAACTGTGGTTTTGCAGTGCTGAACCTTACACTTGGGAACTTTGTATGTACGGAGACATTTGTCTGTGCTTCGCCGCCTAGAACTGCTCGGCACTGATTTGCCCTTCCCTCCCGCTTTTGTTGCAGCGCTGCTAAGTGAGTAAACTGGATTTCGCCTCAATAACAAGGCTACCACTAGCTCCCAGATAAGGTCACCGAGCTCCGCGGGAATGAATACCCTAAAGCCTGTGCAAGGTTCCCCAGCTCTGCACAGACCACACGGGTGCTCCTGAAAGGCTGCAGTTCCGCGGCCGGCCTGCCAACGGCAGCCTCTTCTAAGCAGAGACCAGGACAGCACATGTGGCACGTTCTGCCCGGCTGCAGCAACAGAAGGGCTTTCACAAAGTCAGCCAGGGAAATATTCCAAGTTAGCAGTTTATCCCGACACACTGCAGATGCTGGTTTACTGGCCAAAGTAAAAAGGACATAAGAGGAGCCTTGTTGATGAAGAATCCTCAGTATTCTTTATGTGTCTTTTCACTGAAGTAACATACTCTCAATTTTCAAATTATGCAATCTTTTTTGCTAGTGGTTAAAAGCTCACTGCCATCTACCCCAAATATAATTTTATTTTTTACATCCTATCTGAGCAGTCAGAAAGACTCAGCACAGTCTACAGTCAAAATCTGTGTTCTGCAACGGACACAGGAACAACCAAAAATCCAGGTTTTATCTGCAGAAGATAAATAAGGAAAGATCAGACTTGGCAGAGGCCAGACCCATATGTGTGGCACTATTGATATGAGAGAACAAGTAGGGTAAATTTGGTGCTTGTCGGCTCCAAAGGACACCACAGCCAGAGGCTCTGGAGCCAGAGGCTCTGAGGGAGGCTCAGCAGCACTGCAACCTAGCATGAATAGCACGTCCAATGGAATAAACATTCGCAGTATTCGGCTGGGGAGAGAAAACCAAAAAATCATGTCAGGTTGATTTAACATTACGTGCAAGAAAAGGTATGGCTGTGAAATCACTGCACACAGACCCACGGGAAAGAACCCTTAGAGCCATGGTTTACTGCAGCTGAAGTCCCTAACACACCTGCTGTAACAAAAGCTGCATGGAAAAGAAACACAGCAGAAACGCTTGGAGGAACTTGCCATGCATGGTAAAGTTTGGTTTCTATGGTGACTGTTACCTGATAAAACTATTACATCATCTTTTGTCTGTTCCTGCACTCACTCCTTTCAATCAGTCACATTCAGTAACATCAAGAGGTGGTACTTTACATTTGGCCTATAACATCCTTGTCTTGCTGCTCGCCAACGATACAGAGCCAGTGGAGCAGCAAGCACCCTGGGTCCCCACAGGCTAATTAAACAACTTTCAGATGCTAGTTCTGAACCATCTAGCTAAATAGGTTAACAGTGGGTAATCTTTCAAATTTATCCTCAAATTTACATTTATACCAGTAAGCCCCATGTATTCTCTGAGCTGAAAAGATCCACACAATTCTTGCAGCTTTTCTTGATATCTTAAAGTCAGTGAAAACAGCACTAGCTAGTGCCTACTCCCACCTCAATCTCCAGGAAAGCAATGGGCAGTTTGACTGCATGTGCTGAAATGACCCAAAATCTTGCAAGAACACCACATAAGGATCTACTTTTACACTTACTTTCCCCGATTTAAAACACCCCTATCTAAGCATCATTACTCCAAGAGGCATTTCACAGAACAAGTAACACCTGAGCAGACAGACATAGCAGCAACAGTAAAGGCACAATAAATACCTTTACTCTGGGAAGTGGAGACGCATATACACTTGGTTAATGCAAAAAACATGTAAGGTTTTCCCCAGAGTGCTGCACCTTCTGTTTTAGTAGCAGATAAGAGAATTCAGGGCTGTACCTTACTGGCTGGCCATCCATCCCTCTGCAAAAATCCCATGCCTCGTAATGCTAACTCTTCCCACTTCTCTCCATTTCTATCACCAATTACCTCAGTTTGGACAGGAAGAATTGTCCTTGTGTCTCTCCAAAACTTAGTTGGGCAGTGAGCAGGAGCAATAATGAATCCTGAGGTGCTATTTGCATTCCTTTAACGCATTACAGCATTAGCTGTCTTTATGGGATTTCTAGCACCACTTTCCTGATTGCTGTTACAAACCAGCAGGATATGAAGAATCAGCCGCCACAGGCTTAATAACACAGAATATTTTAGAACAATAGTCCAAGTCATATGCAGCATCTTTCCAGAAGAATGTGTCAAAGCTGCAAACCAGGGATGGAAATGCATTTGATGCGACAACCATACGAACACCCTCTCGACAGGGATCACCGTATGGCTGTGGTTCAGCCTTCTGCTGACACACAGTCTTCCAGAGTCTGAAGAGCAAACTTGCACAGAAGCTTACAAGCCAAATTCACACCACAATCATGCCCCAGGGCTGTAATATGGACCAGTATCGATTCTTAGAAAGCATTTATGTGTGTATTTTGATGGGAAGAGGGAACAAGAAGCAAGTATTTTTAGAATACAATTTCCGTGAGCCCCCAAGTCACAAGTCAATTGGACCGCAGAAGTCAGCACAGCTTTTGCTCCCAACCCTTCCTTTTCCAACTGGCTACTGCTGCTGGAGCTGCGGAAAACACAGCCGCAGCATTTTGTGCGCACAGAGAAAATGAGCACATATTCCCAGAAGAGAGAACGAGCTTATGATCTGAGGGCATGGCATTCCAACCCAGGGGCTCTCTGCTGCGGGGCACTCGAGAAGTCAGCTGGGGAGATCCCTGACTGCTCCCTTTCCAAGGAAAAGCTCAGAATAAGTGTATTCAGATGCCTACAAGCTACTCCAACATCCGCTAAAAACACTAATTTAAGTGAAATTCCTAATATGCTGGTAACAAAGACTTTTCTTCTGTATTTTCACAATCAAAACACTCAGTGGGCAGTTGCTAAACAGTTTTCAAGGGCTTTTTGTTTCAGACTTACAGGATGGTTTGAATAGGAAGGCAAGTGGACAGGGCCTAATTTTTTGTCTAGTTTCAAGGCTACTGCCACAAAAAGCGGGGAATTCTGCCAGAGTCATAAAGGAACATATGTAACATAGGGCATATTTCTGCAGTTTCTGTCAATTTGGCCTCCACACAATGACACCATGCTTGGCCCAGAATAATGTAAGCAAGGGCTTGTGCACCTTATATTTTCCCTCCTGTCTGGGCTTTTCCAGACATGTTCAGGTTTCATGTGCCAGAAGTCTTCCCAGGTGGATTTTCCTGCTCTTGCTCATTTCATCGAGAATTCCCCAGTGCTGCAAACAGGAAGCTGCTCTTCCCTGGCACACAAAGTTGATTTTAATGCCCCTGGCTTGGAGCACACCCTGCTAACTTCCCTTCTTGTGAAAGCACAAGCTATCGCCCCTCTACCCTGGGGTCAAGAGCACCCAAGCTTTTGCCAAATCCAGAACAGAAGAGGAGTAATACCTCTCTCCACCTCAGGAAATAAGAAAGTTTACCACAGCCACGCAGAGGAGTCAGGGGCCTTGGGGGCCTGATGATCCTGCGTCTTGCCGTCCCTAGGAACATCCTTTCACCCACCAGGGAGCATTGCCTGCTACAAGCAGACCCCTTCAAATTC